CGCCAACGGCACAGGCGAAGCCGAGGAGGGCCACCAACGACTACGACGGGAGGAGAAAGGGGCACCCGGGGTGTCCTGACTAGAGATTCGCCCTCTTGTCGCCTAAGAGCGGACAACACACGTGGGCGACCGCGGGGAGGGGGGGGGGAGGGGGGGAGGGTTTGCAATTTTCCCTGGAGTTCAATGACCAATGTTATGCATTTTAAATTCCAATAGATTTTATTTCCTACACCCCATGTGAAGTCAATACTTCCCATGAGATAAGTATATGAAATTTATTTTACAAAGATGGGATACATGGCAACAAAAAATAAAAGATACTCGCGCTAATCTTTATTATAGTGACTCTCACGCACGTTACATTGATGGCACGGGGACGGAACAAAAACTTACAAAACTAATGCGTACTAATACATATTTATATCATAAGACAACTAAAGATCAAACTAAAATAGCTAATAATGTTGAAATATTACGACGGTACGATATCGGGGCTCCTCCTCCCAGTTTGAAATAAGCCAAGGGTGGCACCCATAGCCAAGTACTCAAGTATCCTTCATAGGTGATGGTGGCGATAAAGGGGCAAACTTGTCGTCCTCCTTGGGTGACAATGAACTTAACTTGGCGTTGTGGATAGCGCCTCTCATGTGAAATATATTGTGGCAGGTGGTACCAAGTGCCTGGCACTGCTATTTGACCTAACAGGCTTGTGGGCCCCCTGTGATATCTCCAACCCTAATTCTTCTTATATAAATACTCAAATATTCCTCTCAGATCAGAGATCCACCTGAAATACTTTTTCCGCCGCCGTAAATTTCTGTTCTTCTGAGATTCTCGAGGCCTCCGCCGGCACTCCGCCGGAGGAGGAATTGCTAACGGAGGGGCTCTACGTCAAGCTTGTTGCCCTTCCGATAATGCGTGAGTAGTTTAGCACAGACCTACAGGTCCATAGTTAGTAGCTAGATGACTTCTTCTCTCTTGACTTTCTTCAATACAATGTTCTCCTTGATGTTCTTGGAGTTCTATCTAATGTAATGATTTTTTGTGGTGTATTTGTTGGGATCCAATGAATTGTGAGTTTTTTTATCAGATTATATATGAATATTATTTGAGTTTTTTCTGAACTCTTTTATGCATTATTGCTATAGCTTTGTGTTTCTCTCCGATCTATTGATTTGCTTTAGCCAACTAGATTAATTTATCTTGCACTGGGAGAGGTGCATTGTAATGTGCTCAATTTTGTGGTGCTCAATTCCAGTGACAGAAGGGAACATGACACGTATGTATCAGTTTATCTTGTTTACATCATGTCATCTTGCTTAATGCGTTACTCCGTTTTTTATGAACTTAATACTCTAGACACATGCTAGATAGCAGTCGATGTTTGTAGGAATAGTATTAGATGCAGGCAGGAGTCGTTCTACTTCTCTCGGATGTGATGCCTATATATGATCATTGCCTTGAATATCGTCATGATTATTTGTTTTTCTATCAATTGTCCAACAATAATTTCTCTAACCATCATGTGCTATTTTCTCGAGAGAAGCCTCTAGTGAAAACTATGGCCCCCGGTTCTACTTTTATCATATATTAAAATCCAAAAATACATTGTTGCATTATTTATTAATTTATTTATTTGATATTTCTGTGCAATCTATCTGTCTATAAACTTACAATTCAACCGCCAAGGGATTTACAACCCCTTATTCTCGTTGGGTGCAAAGATTTGTTATCTTGTGTGCAGGTACTGCTACATAGTGTTGCGTGGCTCTTCTACAGGATTAATAACCTTGGTTCTTAACTGAGAAAAATACTTATTTGTACTGTACTGCATCATTCTCTCTTCTTCGAAAAAATCCCAATGCAGCTCACAAGTAGCAGGTCCTAAATTTTTAACTTCCACTGCAACTTTTTCAAACTAGTTGTGGCGGGCCTAAACTTTTACCCGTCAATGTAATTTTTTCAAAATAGCTGTGGCGGGCTCCGGACCGCACCCGCAATTAATTTGAGGCCACATATAAAGCCTTCTCTAAGTAGTGCCTATCGTACATGCTTTTTCGTATCGTGTGCAATGCCCCACCTCCCCCATGTTGCACAACATGGCGAGGTGACGGTTCGACCATCCTTGTGAGATAGGATTTTGAACTGTGTGCGATGACCCAATCTGCACTAGCTAGTGGGGGATCCCAGTCCAACAACCACTATAAAACCAAACCTCATTGCAATGCAAGTATCACTGCATCAGTGCGCTAGTGAGTTGTTCCTCAGTGCTTTGATCTTAGTTTTCTTGGAGACCAACCAAGAGCAATGGCGGCTGGTGGCTGTGACGTCAATGCGAGCTACGATATCAAGCATCTGCTCAAGAGTGACGCCCTGTACAAGTACATCCTGGATACCACGGTGTTCCCCCGAGAGCCGGAGTGCATGCGCGACCTACGCCTCCTCACCGACAAGCACCAAAGGTAGTAAAAAAATATAAGAGTGTTTAGATATTATTCTAGTGATCTAAACACGTTCATATTTGTTTACGGAGGGAGTACATAATTACGTCGGTCCAATTAATATTGGT